ATTTATAACAATTATGTTGCGTCGTATTTTACGCTGATGCAAACCTGCACTCAGTAAGCAGAAACAAAAAGATGAAAACTTTCTCCTCAATTAATCCAGTTTTTACTATTTCCGAACCTTTACTTGAAGGAGTCCGAAATACCGAAAACTTTGAAACGCAAAATCATATTCCTCGACCCGCAGTTTTTTCCTTACACAACCGTAAAAACTCTACGCGACTTTGCATGACCCCAATGAGTTGTTATGTATGCGTTTACTATTTACTATCGTGTGAGTTCTCAAATTTCAAAAAGTGCGCGAGTTAAGTCGCGACTTTTGTTATTTCTAAGAATGCGACTTTGCGCTATTTTTGCGACCTATTTTGCGACCGTACTATGCGCATTGTGTTTCGAAAGCTCGGCACGACAATAACTTTTCAAACGTTGTTGCGACCGTATGTTCTATAAAACTAGTTAATAAAAATTTTTTATCTAACTTAGTCTATACTTAGAAAAATTGAAAAAAATATCAAAGTAAACAATAGAAAGAATTAAAAAATTATTTCCGTTCTCTTAAAAATCGGCACTATGATGCCAAACTTTGTTTTACATCAGTTCAAAGATGTAAAGCAGGCATATCTCTTACATGCGTTCGTAGTTTTAGTAAATAGAATTCAGTAACAAATGTTGTTTACACAAAACATTGCCAAAGTATTTGTGACTATGAAATCCAGCGACACAAGCTTATACGTCATTCAACAAATCCGCCTAATGTTCATGCATTTTCTTCATTATGCTGTTTCTTCCCAATGCGCCCATATAAGTTCTACGCGACTTAGCACGAACCAAATGAGATTTTTAGTTTTTTTTTTCCTAGCGCATGAAACCTTTGATTTTAAGAGTTAAGATAATATTACTTTGCGCGATTTTGCGACACATATTGCATTCGTACTGTCACGACTCGAAAACTTGGCACAACGGCAAAATTCCATCTTATCTTCTTTTATCATCTCATCTTCTTTTGTCTATAATTCAGAAAATTTATAATTCTAAAAAGATTTTGAACTATAAAATTAAAAAACCGGCTTCAAGTTTCCTTGTTTTTTCAAAGTTGGGCCTTACTACGCCAAATTTGGTTTTAAAATAGAGCAAAAAGAAACGTGCTCCCTCGCGTCTAGATTCCGCAGACCCATCTTTTAGATGTTTAGTTTTGAAGATAGCAATCAGTGACAAATATTGCATAAACAAAATTGCATAAAGGCTATATCAAATGTCGGTGGTGCGACAGCATGGACTTGAAAAATAGTCCATGAATTGTTCCATCTAAAATTATCTATGCTTCATCAAATTGAAAAATTCATCGAGATAAAACACGGATTAATTTTTTTGTTCCTTCAAAATTGAACGTTACGACGCCAAGCTCGGTTATATAAAAGAGCAAGGACTTGTGCCCGCTCGTGTCTGGATTCCGCAGACTCATCTTTTACATTGTTTAATAATCTTTGTAGTTGGAATTCAGTGACAAATGTTGCTTAAGCAAAATTAAGTCAAATTTTTATTGTTATAGTATCCAGCGACAAAGGGGTATACATTAACCAACAAAGCCGCCCAGTATTCAAGAATTTTTCTCAGCCTGAAAATTATTTTTTGAGCGACCTCATGAAATTGCTTTTGCACGATCCAAATAAGATGATATATTTGAGTTGACTCTTCCTTGCCGCGTGAGACTTTTGACTTCAAAAATTTGTGCGAATTCAGGTTGTGACTGCGCAATTTTTGCGACCCATTTTGCAACCGTACTGAGTTTAAGTTGCGACTCTAAACCCCGAGACGACAGGAAACTTTCAAACGTCGGTGCAACTGCTCGTACTTCATAAAAAAAGTTCATGGTATTTTTCATTCAAACTTCGTCTATAATCCAAAACTCGAACAGAAAAAAAAAGTTGGCCCAGAAACTGTTTTTAGTCAGAGCATCGCAAAATACGCCTCATTCACTTATGTATAAAACAGAACAAAACATTGCGCTCACTCGCGTGTGTTCATATTAATCTAAGATATGTTTTTTGCCCAATAGTCCATTATTGAAAAAAGAGATGCAAGCTTGAAGTGCTCGCATATTTAACTCCAATTGGTTTGTTTAAGAAATGCGTTTCAGTTTAATATTTTTTCCAGACAGTGTCCCCCTTCAAAAACTCAATTTCAAGCAAAATTATACTTTTATAACCGAACCTTTTTGATTCTTATCCCTAAAATGTAAAATGTCTGTTTTTCCTGATAAGTCGGTCTAAAAAAAACCTTTTTTTTGGAAAATTTGAAAGATTAATTGATCAGAATTAACACTTCAAAAAGCTTTATTCATGTTTCTTATGGTTTAATGCCGTTAGCGCCACTTATTTTGACACAAATCCAAAAGCTGTTTTGGCTTTTAACTGATAAGTTTTTTAGTTTACTGAATGAAAACCATGTCTTTTTAAAGGATTCTTTTGTTGAAAAAATTCATTTATCCAAAACATCATGCGCTATACGGCAGGCTGCCAAAAATGCTTAGGTTGTTTTTTTTTGGAGTCCCAGGTTGACGCCCGTAAAATAAAAGGGCTTATCATACAGTTTCATATATGGCGACTATGGAAAAAATGCTTTCCAGACTATTATCATACAAAATTAAAAAAACTGTATTTAACGTTTTTACAGAAATAATTCTGTTCTATTTCCATCTTTTGAATCTTTCTGTTCAATAAAAACAAGATTTTAATTTTGTTCAAAAAATTACTTATCATAATGTTTTCATATATAAGAGTTGTATAATAAGCATTTTGCTATAGAAAAAAAAATCTTCAAAATTAAGTAACGATGTTTCTGGATGAATTTACATGAATTTAAAAAAATTTACTCTCGAAAACATGATTTTAATTTTGTTCAAAAACTGCTTATCATATAAATTTCATAAATGAAAATTGTATGATATGCATTTTTCATAAGCAAAAACACAAATTTGAAGTAAGAAATTTTTAATCCCTGTTTTAGTTGCAAATTTGCTTTTGTGCTTAAAAATAATTTTTTGCGAAAAAAAATTTTGCATGCAAAAATTTACTTTTTTTGTTTATAACGTAGTCCAGGATGAGTTTTTCACCCAAAAAATCAGAAAAAAGTGTTTTTTTTGTAAACACGATTATTATTTTTTTTATTTCATTCGCTAAGATCAATATAAATTTGTAAAAAAAGGCTTTTTTTCTCAACTACCAAAATTTTTAAACCAAAAATTATCTAGTTACATTTTTGGGATTTAATTTCATGTGAAAATGCAAAAATAAGCTAAGGTGGCAAAATCACCAAATGCAGTTTATCTGCGTGTAACTGCCAGTTACACTCTAGGTTTTCTTATGACAAAATGTCCAGGGTTAATGTTTCGGATGAAACACAAAATTTCGAAAGAAATATTTTTTGATATTTTAATTTATGGAAAAATGATTATCATACAATTTAATTGTATGGAAGAAATTCTATCCTATTATTTTATGTTTTGGAAAAAAGGCTTATCATGCTATTATCATAGTATTTTTTTGGTCTATGAAATAGTATGAAATAGTATGATAAGCATTTTTTTCATTATATATGAAATAGTATGACAAGCATTTTTTGTCAACCCGGGGTATTATGTGTCGTGATTTAACGTGCATGAAGTGCTAGAACAGCAGCGACCAGCATCAAAAGTATGATTCTTTTGTCGCGTTCATAAAAGCATAAACGTCTGAAATATACAAACTTGGCGTTAAAGCTCTAATAAGTGGAACACAGTGAACAATTATTTCGACAATAAATAAGTTGCTTTATTGAAAATTTTTTTTCATAACTACTCCAAACTCAATTGAGGCAAACTAATTGGCCACACCCAGACATCAAAAATGGATTCAAAGTGATTTGTATTATGTTTTGTAAAAGTAATCGTAATTACAAAATCGATAATATAAGGCCATTTACTGACGTTTATCGATTTACAGCGGAGTTTTACGGTTTTTGAAAATCATAAAAAAGACGATCTTATTATCTAAAAAACGATACGAAAGTGTCTAATAAAAATCTCTGTAAAACTTATTGAAGCGATTCATGTCGACTTAAATCGATGTTTTTTGAGTTGTCTTATGAAAAAATTATGTACTCATAGAAATTGTTACCAAAGAAACTTCTCCGTCAACTCGAGTGTGATCTACAGTTAATTGAGAGTTGTGATTTACCAAATAATAAAGTCAGGGTGATCCTTTTCTTATTTTGCAAACTAAAGGTTCCAGCGGCAATGAAAAGTAGGTAGTCAGCGTTTTTCAAATGTCGGTTTCAACTGTTTTAGCGCAATTTTCTATAGCGAGTCAACATCAAAGCTAAAAGCTAACGTTAAAACAATTAATTTCGACTCAAGTAATTTGCACTGAGTTATTCTTGCAGTTTTTTTCATGCCAAACATTAACAAAAAAAATCAATTGAAAACAAAACTTCCAAATTTGTTTTCAAATTACTACTAATAGTTGAAAGCCGAACAAAACAAATTGTATTATATTGTTATAAATTTAGTTTAAAAAGCTTGGATGAACATAATTTTGCATCAAATTAAATTGTTTTAATTGGAATTGAATTGAAGTAAACTGATGAAAAATTCTAGAAAACAAACCTATTTAAACCTAGAAAAATTTGAGCTCTATTTAGTCTTAAGGCTTTTTTCATACTAAAACCAAATTTAGTTTAATTCTGACGGTGCGGCATATATTTTTTCAAGGTTCAATTGTTAACACTTAACGCTTCCAAATTGGTTGTTTAGAAACAAAAAACCAGCTTTCATAATTTATCAAAACTTGTTCTCCCAAATCTTTTGTCATCATTTACAGATCTGTCGGAACATTATGAGCATTGCCTCATATGAGTTTCATTTATTCTTTTGGTCGGCCAACAGCTGTTCCGATTCGTTCAGAGGAAAATTGACTCTCAATTTCCAATTTTTAATTCTGAAAAAAAAATCAAAAAACTGGACCGAAACGTCTATTCTATTTTATTGTGAACAATTAATAATACAAACAGCCGCAACTTTTTTAGCCTAAAAACGGAAATAATAAAATTATCAGTTTCAATTTGTAGTTTTTTCAAAAAGAGAAGAGTAAAAAGGCTACAAGCATGGCGAAATGAGATTTAATCTGATTCCCTTTGTTTGTGCTTTTTAAAGATTCGGATCTTATATCCCCCTTTCTGACGATTGGACAACTATCCTCGTATTTACCACTGCAAGTCGCGTATTGCATTATGGCCCCAATGTATGTCTGCATTCTCACGCCCCTAAACATATGGGCCATAGGTCCGTCGGCGAATATCAAAACATCTTCCCCGCCATGACTTCCTTGAGATCCATTAAGCGCCGAGGGGTATTTGTACTCTGGTTGATGTTCGTTTATGTTGTTCGGATGTTTTGAGCTCGGATCTTGAGAGTTGGGACCAGATCCGTAAGTTAAAGTGGATTGATTCATGTGGTTTGTACCCAAAATTGGGTTGTTCAATGTTGGGTATCCAGAAATACTGAATGAGTGAGAATGGTCCGCAGTCACAATGACCAAAGTCTCTTCTAAATTGACTCGGTCAACTACAGCTTTTATAGTCTGATCAAAGGCATCCGCTGAAACAAAAACAGGTGGTTCAAATCGGTTCTTGAACATATGCATTTTATGATGCTTATCTAACCCTCAAATACTTAGCTTTGGCGCCCATTTTACAATCAGATTTATGTTGACTTTAAGTTAAAATTGATCGACATAAATGTTCCTCGTGGGTGGTTTAAATTTCTTCCCAGGCCTCGATCCATGTTAACGACAAACTTACAATTGTTCAAAGAAGTCTTTCCAATGCACCAAAACACGCTCTAGCACGGGCGGATCTAGCAAGGAGCGAATCACTATCCCTTCTAAAAGTTAGCATTTTAGAAAACTTTTCGGGTCGGTCAGTTAAAAATGGAGGTCTTAAAATAGTACCAAAGGGGGGCTCTTTGGGTAGCCAGGGGATGGAGCCCCTAAGGTGGTCCGGGCGACCGGCGTCCGATCTCACCCCCATAAATCCGCCCCTGCGCTCTAGTATACTTTTCTAAACGCCTCGAAAAACTGAATAACAGCAAAATACGAATTAGTCGACGGCATTTTTCAGATTTTTTTATTTTGACCAAGATAAATTATGATTATAAATTTAAAATGATTTTCAAAAAAGAACTCACATTTGTAAAAATTTCCTAGTTTCTCAAAAAAGATAACATTATTTTTTCAAAACCAAATTATAAAAAAAAATTTACGGTTCGATCATTTTGATTTTTTTAGCCCTCCCGAAGAACTTATAAAGATCCTATTTTGGCAAAAAATTGTGCGCGGCACGTAAATTTTTTATACAAAAATAACGTTCTGGGCTTTTTTGGAAGGATATCTAGAAAGAAGAGGATTCTACAAAAGGGGATCTCGTAAAATAGTACCCTTTGGAAAAAATGGCAACCAGAATTGAGGACGGGGGGTTCGATTCGGCACGTTACTCGTTACAGCCAAAAACATAGAAAAAAATTTTTTGACTTTTTTAACGTCAAAATGTTTACCTTCTGTTAGGGTCAAGTAAGGTTTATTTGCATGCTGTCCATGGTCTATTCTCGCCCCCTCCACTAACAAAAAGAACCCGTCTTCGTTATTTTCAACCAAGAGCTTAATAGCTTTTGTTGTCATACTCTGAAGAGTTGGCTCCTTCGAACTACTACGACGAAGCGCGTCGTAACCCATATGAGAGTCGGCAAATAATCCGAGAACGGGCAAATCATTAGCCTCCACGTTTGTAAGTTCGTCAATGTCATATACGACTTTTCCGCCATCGTTTTCCCAAGTTGCTACAAGGTTTCTGGAATCGTTCCGTTCAGATGTTCCATTAAAGTGGGTTTTTTGATCTTTGGGCATGAAGTTCTTGAGACCTCCGCCCAGAATTACGTCAATCAGTCCTGTTTTTTGCTGCTCCATTAACTGTATAGCGATATCTAAAAGTATATCACAAAAGGTCACTTCAAGACCCTCATTTGCTTAACTCACTCAAATTTTTACCAATTTTGCAGACTAGTTCGAAACGCTTTAAAGAAAATCTGCTTTTTTTGTCTCTGATAACTTTCGGTTGTCCAGATTTTGCAAGTTTTGAAAATTTTGCGTGACTTTTCTAAGAAAAACTTCAAAAACCGGCTTGTGAAGCTTACCTTTGCAGCCATCTGGTGAGTTTCCTTCCCAGTCTCTATCTTCCGTCTTTGCGTAGAGTGCTGCAGGGGTAGCATGAGTCACCCTGGCAGTTGTCACCACCCCCACTCGCTTGCCAAGTTTCTTCACGTGGTCCGCTATTGTCGGCAGGGGGTTCACTCCCGACCCACATTGACCCTTCGAGACGGACCCTCCACTGAACCCGAGGGTGGCCGAGTTAGTTTTAATACCTTTATAAGCAGATTTTTAAAAAAAAAACACTCAAAAATAATAACTAAAATTCGGTCTATTTACTATTACAAGGTAGATCTAAAGTTTGGTCAATATTTTACTGGTGCTTTGTGGTTCTCCTATTATAAGGAGCAAAACGTTACAAAATTGCTTGTAATAGGGCGAAGCCCTGAAAATTCCGACTACCTTTCAAGATCTCTGGAGCAGTGATAACATTAAAAAAAAATAAAAATAATAAATTAAAATGAAAATTTTTTGTTATAAAATTTGAGAGTTTTGTGAAAACCATCACCCCACACGCCATATCAAACACAAAGTGATAGATTTTGCTCCTTGTAACAAATTAATTGTGGCAAATGAGCTTATTTCAACCAATTTGGAAAAGTTTCTAGGACGGATTAAACCCCCATAACTTAACATCAAAATTTTGAGTCGTATAAAATTATTACGACAAATTATCTAGCCTCAAATCAATTTGGAACAATTTTGTTGTGCGGGATATTTCGCCACGCATAAATAATTCGCGTTACGTTCTCAGCATTAGGGATAAACTCTTCAAAGCGCGCATAATATAGCCCAGAACATGGCCAATTTGGCATTTTTTAAACGCCAGGAACTTTACAAAAAATAATCGGAGTGAAATATTTGAATAAATTTGAACTCAGGAAAAGTCAATATCTTCGATGGGGTATAATTTTTTTTGAAAACTGTTATTTTGATTGGCGAAAATTGACTGAATAAAAAACCACCCCGAGCATAAATATTCGGTTTACTTCGAAAGTCGGAACAAAGCGCAATTTAGCAAATTTGAACAAATTTCATATTCAGAAAACCTTAAAACATCAAACTCTTTCCGAGAAATAGATTTTTCATGCTAAAGTTTTGTGAAAGTTTTTGATTTTCCATGCAAAAATTTTGTTTAATTCTACCCTTTCCAACTTTTTGAAATTCTCAACAAAACTGCTCGTATCAGGGCAAAACCTTAAATGTTCCTACCGCCTTTTAAGGTCTATGGAGCAGTAATAACTTAAAAAAATTGAATGTAAAAAATGCAATTTTTTTTAATTTGAGACTTTTTGTGAAAATTATCCCCCACACGCCTTATAGAGTACAAAGTGATATATTACGCTCCTAGTAAAAATTTAATTGTTGCAAATTAGCTTGTTTCGACCAATTTGGAATGATTTCTAAGATGGATGAAAACTTTGCTTAGGTGTTATAAGCGCTAAATATATCGCGCGTTTATTGTCTCGAATCGTTCAAAATGGCAATCTTTACACCCTCCATAACTTTAAGGAAAAATCATCGAGGTGCAATTTTTTTTTCAAATTTAAGCTCAAGACAACAATATTTTTTGAATGATATAAAAAAGTTCCGTCAAAAATGGCTAGTCAAAAAGTGTCATACCAACTTAAATAAAAAAAGCTATCTGGCAATTTCACTTTTTTCTTGGCAATATCACTTGTTTTGAGCAAAATTTTCCCGACTTTCACAAATCGGCGCAGATAAATAGTTGGGTCCCTTAAAAAGCAAATATGAAAGATGGTTACCGCAAGTTTTTCAGAAATTTTATGTACAAAATTTAACAAAGGGCTTACCCTGTTTCGGACGATTTTAAGCTTAAATATTATTCTTCAGAGACACGCCCAATACAGACCTAGTTATCATACTTGGACCAGCAAACCTCTCTACCTGATAAAATTGCAAATGCAGTTGCGGCCGAGTCAGGCACTTGATAGTCTGTTGAAAAGGTTCGACTGAGCGCGACGTGCGGCAACAGTTCCTCCATTTTCAGTCTGTTCAGTTCCCCAATCTTACTAGCATTAGACTTCTGTCCTGAAATGAAAAAAATCATAATAACAATCAAATGATTTCAAGCTCAAAAATAGTTATTAATTAACCCAGGTCGAGTTTCCGCTTAAAAACCCCTCAAAATTCAAATGGTTAGAGCGGTTTTCACTTAAACTTAAAAAAGGTATGAGCGGTTTATTTTAAAAAAACCCTGCATGTTTTGAAGTTATTTGAGCTGTTTTTGAGCAGTTTATTTTGAAAAATTTCTCAAAAAATTAGAATGGTTTTTGAGTGGTTTCTCAACATTAACTGCTCAACATTAATCAAATTTTTGAGTGTTTTATTAACAAATGGCTCAAAAACAGCTCAAATCTTTTATTCTGAAGCAAGATTTTAGATTAAGAGCAATTGCATAAGAAATCGCTCAAACCACGCGTTCTAAAGCAAGATTTCACGCGCAATGGTCTATGTAAGTGTTTTTTCATATATTATGTTGGTTCTAATTTAGGTGGCAATTTAATTCTATCAAACAATTGACGATTATGATTCATCATAAATGTCACAAGAACTCAAAATTGAAATATGTGGTTCTTTACACCCAAAAGGGACTTAGTCAGCAAACTTGCTGGCATGTCACCAGTAGACAAGTACTCAATACTACTCTCCTCTTTTTCACAAAAAGCGTGCAAAAAATGCGTCTTAAAAGCGCAATGCTTTATCCTAATCTGGTGCATCGTATGTTTGCTCAATGCACTATACACTTGACTGCCAACACGCAAACTGACAGTAAAATCTATTTTCTTTAACAACTCTACTAGTAATCTAGATACGGGGAAAAGTCCTGATTTGTTGCCACACAAGCGGAAACTTCCACTTCTGCGGTCGATATCGCAATGCTTGTCTGGATTTTATTTGACCAAATTATGCAGTCGGAATTGTACTTCAATCTCAAAAAGAATCCACTTCTTTTTCGGTTGCCCAGTTTGCTATTACTCAGCGTCTGAGAATACATCTAAATTTTTACCAGTAAATTTTTTTTCCTGTATATCAGTACCATTGTTTTCGTAACTGTCAGGTACCTTAGGACTCTGTTTGCAAAAATCCTATGTTCTTGAGTTGTTTTTTAGTTCAAATGAATGACCCAATCGCTGTGCTGCAAAGGAAACTTCTGGTCTATTATGTAGATTTCGGGGATTGCTTCTCTAGGTCCGTTCACACTCTCTAACTTAACGGCACCGCAAAGTGGTTCCTCTGGTAATGAATTCAGCGGGGCAAACGTGATTCACTACTATCCACAATCCCGTTGGTGGCAACTATTCTGTACGGTACTCTGTTACTTGCCCCTCTTTATGCTGCTATTGAGGCTGTCTTGCTCACTCTCGCCGATCGCAAGAATTTCCAGTAGTAATTAAATTCAGATAAATATTGGTCCAAATACAGAAGGCTCTAGGCTGCCCGAATATAATCTAGTAATCTGATCAAAAGGAAAGGGCCCGCAATCAACCAACACAATTACCTAATTGCCATTTGAGTTCCAAATAACTTGGCCAACAATTCTCTCTTCTCTAGAGAATCCTAAGTATTGAATTACACACAGTAATTCCACACAACCTCGCAGTCCGACCTGCTAAAATTAATAGTGTCACTGAGGATCACTATTCCGTTGAGGTACTTTGACTGAAATCTTTGCTTTGCGATTCCTGGTTTTCTAGCTATTGAGAACCCAACTAATATCAGTACTAGATATCTTTGTTCTCTAGCTAACTGAGAACCAACTACTCTTGATAATAGCTCCAATTGTTCTCTCTCTGACTGAGAACCAACTACTCTTCTATTTAGAAACAATTGTTCTCTTTCTGACTGAGAACCAACTACTCTTCTATTTAGAAATAATTGTTCGGCCTAAGGGTAGGTTACTTGCTACTCTCTATAAAAATTGTCTATTTGAGTTTTAGTTATAGTTAGAGTTATGTCGTCCCTACAAGTCCTGACATTTACTTTGGTACCAATTTCGCAAGGTCTTAACTGAATTCTTCCTCTGACGACACTAGTATTAAGTTCCAAGTTCATTATAGGCATCTCTAACTAAGTTGTGCAAATATCAAGTCCAGCTTCACCTCCAAACCGAGTTATGTTTAATTAGCCAATCTTCCAAAGGTTTTTATTTAATTATCCCTTTAACGTTCCAACCTCCCAGGTGTAGGGGAAGACCCTTTTCCTGGGTCGCTAACTCATCCTTAGCATCTAAAATTCCGATTGATACTCTATTCCAATCCCGACCTTCTAGCTATCAGGGGAACGTAATTCGCTTATTAAGGGTCAAATCGTGCCGAAAAAACTACTTCCGGGGAGCTAAGTAAATACTCTTTTCGTTCGTGCTATTTCGCAGACCTACCTCCCATGCTACTCTCCTGTTACTCCCATTTTCTTCTGGGACTACTTTTCTTTTACCCTGATTGATATTCTATTATTAGCTGACTCGCCAAGCTAAGTTGAAACCAATGTTTGCCAAGTCCATTTTAATTAGTTCCATTACTTCAACGATACAACGTATAAGTGATATCTCATTCAGCTTCTCATTTCTTTCCCAAAAGGTAAGTTCCCTCCCAAATATTAGTAGGGCGACCGAATCTCATTCCCAAGAGTTGGGGTTGGAGAATACGCCACTTGCCGGTGTTAATCCCGAGGTTTTCTATACAAATTTGGTCCTAAACACCCAAAGGTCAATTTGAGGTCACCCCGGGGTCACCCGGGGTCAATCTTCCATATTCGGGTTTAGAATTCCATAGGAGTCCTGCCTACCAAGTTTCATCCATATCCCGTAAATACTTCTAAATTTATCCCATTTTTAGGGTCCATTATCACTTTTCCCGGGAATAGGCTATTAACACCGGAAGGAGTTGCCCGAGAGGTTTCAACCACCGGGGTCTTTTTTCGGGAATGAGTTGTAGTATCTGATGCCGCCATAAAATCGGTATACCCTCGCACAAAAATTTGCGTAAATTGCATATTTCCGGTTTAAGGGGTGGTTTTCCAAAGTGCTGATAGTTTCCGGTTCAGCCGCTGGATTTGGCTCAGATTTTATTACCTGATGTATCTCGTTGCTACCTATGCTATCCCAAGTTTAAGCTCCCTGCGTTCAGTGGGGTCCGAGAAACGACTCCCGGAAGTCGGGGTTGGGTCTATTTGCATAGGGCACAGCACCGAAAGCAGGGGTCCAGGGGGTCTGGGGTTCTAAACTTAAGCTTCCCTCAACTAAGTCTATAACATACTATATTTTATATTTTTGTGCCATTCCAACAGCTAGTTACAGAGTTCTGATAGGGCTGTTTGCACTTCCGGGAACCGTTATCACTTGGGACCGGGGGGTCCGAGGGGTATGGTTTTTTGCATGCCCGGGTCAAATCATCTCTAGAATCCGTCCTATGAGTTTCATAAAGCTAGCCACTGTAGTTCCTATTTGGGGGGGGGGGGGGGGTCCGCCGATCTTACTCCACCTGCTTTTTCCGCCATAGAAGGGACTATTTCTTCGAAGATTTAAACTTATTTTGGGTATGACTATTTGTTTAACTTTCTACTTATCGTATTGAATCGTCGATACCGAGCTACGTACTACTCAATAACCTTCACTACACTGCAGGCATTTCTCAAGGCAAACTCCCGAACGAAATATGAGTTTGTCGAAAAGTGTTAGGATCACCGATCCTACATATCATGCCATCAAGCTAAGACTATCAATTAAACGTCGATAGTTTTGATTTTCTTCCAGTTTTTGTACCAGCTGATGTTCTATCATCCAAGTTTTTCATTGGAATGTCAGCACTCCTACAATAAGTCAACTTGAAGTTGTTTCGCAAGTTTTCAACATAATTCTTGACTTTAATTTACCTCATTATCACCAAATTCAGCCCTCATTTTCAGAAGCCATGCAGTATCTGACGCCAAATTTATATCAAAGAGTTTGTTCACTTCTCTCTCAAACCATGATGTAAGTTTGAAATTAAACATTATGTGAGTTTGTTTTCAACCCTTCCTATTGAAAATATTTTAAAAAAATACCCATTTACATGCCGACCCTACAGACTCGACTACATTACTCACAAACAAATACTGTTTACTGACCTATGCCCCATATCCTAAATGAGCCAGAAAAAATCTTAATATAATGTACCAGTTCCTAGCTCAATGTTTCAAACCAACGAAGGTTTTTGAATCTTGAAGTACAGTTTGTGTAACATTTCATTAATATGAACAACATCTTCTGATTGTTCCTTAGACATATCCTCCATGCCCGCATTTCGATATGCAGAACAATCTTCTAACGGTGTTGGTTGCATACCATAGTGAGCGGCACAGTAAGTATCAATTTATTATTTGACAAGTGTCGCCGGCGAATAAATTTCCATCGAGGTTTTTCGAACAGCCAAATTCAATATTGCTTTAGTTGTATAATTCCCTCAGGCAATCTCTGCAATGACCATGACTCATTTTTTAAATCAATGTGGCATTTTCCGATTCCAATGCTGCTTTCCATCTCTCAGAAGCGAGAACTTGAAGGCCCGGGTAGATCTTGGAAAGGCTTCCTCCAGATAATCAGAACAAAATGCCCATTTATATTCTCCAGTCTCTGGTACATTATTCAAAATTTCAGACCCATCCATTTGTCAATCCCATTTCGATAGCCCTTCGTTCTTGGAAAGGAAAGCGAGTCTTGTAAAGTTTTGCTGAACCACGTTTGAGGACAATTTTCAAATCATCAGGACTGTCCTGCTCAATTTCAGTTTGATAATCAGATAGGTAAAAGAAAAACCAAGATACACGCTGGACATATTCTAACGTTCCAGTAGATAGACCTTTTATTACTATATTTTAGATTATTCGCGAAATTCGGATCACCCAATTTTTTCTTTTTAACCTAGGAAATCAGCAGAATTAGGAAGTCGCAAATAGTACAAAATTATGAATCAAAATTTTATGTCATGAAATTCTTCACAAATATTTACTGACCTAGTCTAAGTCAAAATGAGAAAAAAAAATTACTTTCGTCGTTTTGATTTCCGGTTGTCATTCTAAACTTTACGTGCTACTTTTTTTTACTTCTCATCAATTTGACCGCAGCCAAAAGAAAAGCAAATTCAAGTTTAATCTCAAAACCCACTTTTCACCAGTTTTCACAACACGCAATTTCAACAAACCGCTGTTTTCTCGAGTCCAGTACACTTTTGACCCCTCATTGAAATTGCTCTTTCTCTTTTTCGTCCATAGTTTTTGTGCAGAGAAAATCAGTGAGAACCCTCACTTGTCAGATTTCTTTGCAACTAATTTTCGACCGCCGCCGCGACTAACTTTTCGACCATTCCGCGACGAGTTTTTCGGCCGAGATACGGTATTTCCAGAGTTTGTCCGCGACTGAAAACCCTGTCCAGACTATGGGTTTTGGTCGCGGATTTATAATGTGGTTCCTGCGAATCGCAGAGGAGCTCTCATTAGGCCTTAACAGTCCTGTCGAGAATGGTCCATTTGTATTATCTCCACACATTGCAGACTGTGTTTAGCGAAGCTCTTTTTTTGCGACTTAAAATCGTTTGTTTGCGTCTAGAATTTTTACGTGGTACCACTAGTGCAGCCGAAGTTGGTCAGGCTGTGGTAAACGGGGGCTATTCTCATGCGCGAAAGACCGAATGGGCGAAAAAACCTGTGGGCCAAGGACCGAACACAAAATCAGCCGAAAATCAATTTTTAAAAGGAAATAATTGCCGTTCAGTTAAATTTAATTAAATGAAGCAATATTTTGCTTCTTTCACTACGAAACCCTTGAAATGTAAAATTTGTCCCAATTTTGCGCCGTTCAATGAAAATTTGAAAATTTGGCATATTTCGGGTCTTATGCACTAAACGGCCTAAAAGTATGATTCTACATCTCTTGAACTGAAATTAATGTGGTTGAATTTGATTGGCTAATTAGCCAACAAGTTCCAGCGACATTTTCTGCCATTTCAAATGAAGATTTGATTGGCTAAAATTCTGCCATTGCAAGCTGATAAAATTATTAGCCAAAATGATACAAGCCAGTTTTGTCAAGCCAGTTTTTAAAGTTTTTCTTGTCTGGGCAAGGTTTCACTAGTAACTCAAAATTAATTTGATTATTTTACAAAGTTCAATCTTTTCGAAAATTTCGGCTAATAGTTTTATCTACTGGAAAGGTTGATCGGAATGCCTGACCGTCTAACTTGAATTTGATTGGCTAAAATTACCCAATCAAATTCGATCGCATAATTTCCAGCTTACGATGTAGAAAATTCAATTTTGGGCCGTTTAGTGCATAAGACCCCATATTTCTGCCGTTTTTATATTCGACCAATTTCAATACTCCAGTCCCTGGAAATGTTAACTTTCTTTCCAAACCTTAGATTACTGAAATCTGATTGGCTGATTTTTATTTTCGCGCATTCGGTCCTTCGCGAATGAGGGATGCCACCGTGTTAAACCTGAAGCTAGAGGTCAAGTGAGAGCTCATCCTCACACACTATCATTGCCATGGCATGAGATCGGAAACACGATCTGACGATTTCGAAGTGAGCGCCTTGCCACAATGCTGGGTCCGTCGTCCGTCAATAACATTTCCGCGACCAAGTCGAAAAATTAGTCGCGGACCTCGGCCCGGGTAGCACTTGAGTTTTTTCATTTTAATCATAACTTAGAAATAACTAAATTATGAACAACTTTTGCTATGTACCGACAAATGGGGCGTTCACAGTCATATATAACTGTGGTCGTAACATTCTGTTTTACTTGCACGGAACCGTTTAGTTTCTTAAGATACCTGCTATGTTTAAAGAATCAACATGACGTGTTTGTTGAAGATAGGTGTCAATCAATCTTCACCTTGAAATATGCGTGCTGCGACCATCTCTGAAAGCCCATAGCCATCTCCAATAAAAAGCACCACGTTTTTTGCCCGCCAGTTTCTCGAAACGATTCTCTTCACTTCTGCAATTTCATTTTCGTTGTTCTTTTCCCAGAAATTTGCAGTCTTGTAGGAGTTGTCAGGTCCCGGAATATCGACTGTATCACCTTGTTTAAGCTGGTTTGACTCCGTAAAAGACACAACTGCAATGTACAAGGCAAGAAATAATCTTAATTTTGATATCATGGCTATACCAGTGAATATTGAAGTGTTTTGGTGTATAAACTGAGACGATATTGAAACTCAATCTGACTTTGAACCTTTAAAGAAACAATTCTTATCTATTGTTTTACATATTTAGCCCAACGGATTTTCGAATTGATTTAATAGAAAGTGTCTCCAAAATACAGGCGTTTGTGAATAAATGAATTCAAGGTAATGAGAAGGTCAAAAAGATAATAGTAGCCGAGGTTGCAGTCAGAAGTCCCTCCATCACATTTTCCAGTCAAAACTCTTGAAATTCTAGATATGAAAATGATAATGATGAAAAGTAGATGATTAAAGTTGATGTTTTAAAAACCAAACTCAATACGGGTTACGTTTTTTCAATGAATTAATAAATGAATTAATCGAGATAAAAATGAGTAGCACAGTGATTTACATTTGACAGAAAGAAAAGTGCAATCAAAAATCACAAGCGTCAACTATAGTTTCAACAATTTTATCGGACAAGATTTTAAATTTCTGAAATAATTCTGACCTTCAATTTTAAACTAAATCAATTACTAAAGTTTTGCGTTTGCCTTTTTGCCGACAATTTTTTGTTTTTTTTTGCTCTGAAAATTTGCTTGGCAAATCCTTGATGAATGAAAAAGTTTTTCAATGTTGAAAGAAAAAATTGTTTCAATTGTGCTCTTGAAATATGCCAAAAATGAGATTCTCCGAAAAAGCGCGGTCATTTTGCATTGCTCTTTTGTCAATTCAAATGCAGTTTTGAAAATTCTGAAGTTTTAACGCAATTTCATTGTCTCAAGGTGAAAATTATTTCAAAAACTTAAGACGGTGTCCAATAAAATTGTTAAAAGCTATACAGTGCTGATTTAAATTAACCGGACAAAGCGCGTTAAACTTGAAATTTAAAACTCATTTTTCTCAAAATGGGTTGAACTTAGGTGAAAATTTATGAAGACTAGAGTTGCTTAAAATTTTAGCAGAATTAATATGGTGTAATTTATTTTGCGAAATTCGGGCCCGAAATGGGTCATTTTGGCTTTTTTTAGTTAATCAAAAATTACGCCAAAAATAACTAGTCGATCACAGACATAATTATATCAAAGTGAGCCTCTTACGTAGCCCAACAAACTTTAAGAAGGGCATAAACTCCAAAAAATTGTTTAAAATATTTTATTTTTGTTTGATAGACAAAAAGGTCGTTTTTACTATATAAAATACCAACTTTTTATTTAAAAACAATTTTTAAACAATTTGCAATTTTTTTGGAGGTTATGCCCTTCTTAAAGTTTGTTGGGCTACGTAAGGGGCTCACTTTGATATAATTATGTCTGTGATCGACTGGTTATTTTTGGCGTAATTTTTGATTAACTAAAAAAGCCAAAATGACCCATTTTTGGGGAAAATTTCGGGCCCGAATTTCGCAAAATAAATTACACCATATTAGTTCTGCTGAAATTTTAAACAAGTTGTGTGTTCATAAATTTTCACCTAAACTCAACCCAAATTGAGAAAAACGGTTTTTAAATTTCAAGTTTAACGCGTTTTGTCCGGTTAATTTAAATCAGCACTGTAGTGTAATATAATTAGCAGCAAAACATCGGACAGACAGTTTAATTAGTATGAGAAATCAGTGCCTTTCGTCTCTTTTTTTTCATGCAAAATCTGTAGCCGATTAACCTTGAATATTTTGTCAGATCAACGTCAAAAATCAAGATTGCCGATTATCCGATGATTATGTTTTAAGATACTGGAATGAACATCCAAATTTTACTATAAAACAGTTAGCAAAAATTGTTAAAAAAATCGAAATCTGGAGTCATTTCAACAAAAACAAACAGATTAGTTCGCCCAAAAAAACGAATGGAAGTGAAGATGATCAAATCATTCAAAATTTGGAAACTAATCTCAGAAAAATATTAGCCAACCTACCTTGAGCAAAAAATTTTCTGTTTCATGGTTTACTAATCGACGCTTCGGATGCAATTTCCCGCTGTGGTTATAGGTTTTGAGCAAAACTTTCTGCAAAACTTTCGACCATATGTTTGTTTCAGTTTTATTTTCCGATGATGTCCAGACAGTTGCTCCTTATAATTAATTCTGCCTGTCCGAACTTTCTGCAACTCTCTATAGAAAGCAAAAAATTGGAACAGACAAAAATAATTGAAAAGAGCAATCTACCAATTTTTCCTAATTTCTGCATTCAAATTTGAAAATTTTTGACTGAATAGTTTTTTATTTTTGCATGGAAAAAATTCCAAAAAATTCAGTTGCAGTTTTAAATTGATTTGTCTGCTCTATCCTTTTACAGTTTTCTATCGCAAAAAGTTGGAAGATACAGAAGTAATTTAAAAAAACTACTGATTTAATTTAGAAATTTTTGCGAAAAGAAGCAAATGCATCTATAGTAGCAAAAAGTTGGAACAGATAGATTTAATTTCAAAAAGCTTTTTTTACCTATTTAGGAAAACTTTTGCAAATGCGAATGTTTCAGACGAAAAATGTCACCTAAAAACTCAAATTTGCATGCAGAAATAGCCCCAAATTGGCAGATGCTCTTTTTAAATAATTATGTTTGTCCCAAATTTTGCATTACTCTACCACTATTGCAGCCGAATCGACCAGGATCTGACGATCTGATGATCTCGACGTGAATGCTTTACTACTATACGAGTGCCTCTAAACTTAATAGATATTTAAGCGTGCTATATTGATTCGACAGAAATTTTAACCAAGTTTCGTCAGCAAAATATCCACTGGAAACTAATTTCTCAGTAAAATTCAAACTTAGTAAGATTTTGTATTGGCCGAAATGCTGTTAAAATCAAAGCCGGAGAATAAAGGAAGCTACGCTATTAAACTAACTTTTTTAAAGACAAAGCTATTTATTTTTGAAAAAGAAAAATTGTACCTCTATTTAATCACAGAGTTAAAATCAGATGATTCAAAGGACAATGCTACGATTAATAAGTAGGTCTACAACTTTTTCAAAGATTGGTTTGGATTTTCAAAGATTGGTTTGGACCTTACAGACAACCTATTTTACCAAAGCTTACAACTGCGCAGGCAATTTCAAAAATAGATACTTGAAAGGCTTAAGACACAAATATCTTTTTTTAAACACACTTCTTCTTAAATTATATGTACATTTGCTTTAATTTGCTTTAAAAAGAGTTTGTTTTACAGAGATTTCGTTCATTTTGAGCATTTTTATGAAACAAAAGATGATTTTGATTTTGATTTTGAGCAAAAAAATGGCGTTCTGGTAATTTTTGTCATTGAAGTTGTATGATAAGCTTGTTCACATGACTAAAATTATTTCCAAAAACGCACATAGTCAGGCAAAATGGTTAAGGCGCTTTTCATTTCGAAGCAAATCAATTTGCCACAAGGAGATTCAATTACCCTGGAAGTAGCACTAAACGTTCCTACCACAATGATATAAGAAAAAAATCACACATAGAGAACGTTTTCAAAACATTGGAAATTTGAAAAAATTTTTCATGTGTTTTTCTCCAAATTTCTCGTTTTTCTTTGTGATTGGTTTATCTGGACAATGAGCCCTTTTTCTAGAAGTGTTCGTTATTCATATCAATTTAATTGGGATTTAATTTTGTTCCACACTTGGCACTTGACCCCTTCGAGTTTCGCTTGAAGCATCTAAAATTGGGAGGAAAAGAACACGCACTGCGCCATAGTCTTCTGCCCAACCCCTGTAAATTTTTTGCAGAGCTTTTGCATTGTTGTTCTGTTCCATGATTTCAATTTCTCTTTTATTAACGTTTTCAACCAACTGCTTGCAAATAAAAAACATCTTGATTTTCTAATCTGTTATATGCCTGGTAAAATAAGCAGGGATGCACCAGCGGTTTTCCGTGAAATCTCAATGCACGTATTTTGTCTCTTTTCCTTGTGGATAATTTGTCTGAATCTTGCTTTTTTTTAGAAGGCTGGTTCAATTCTGCTACATTCATCAAATCGTTTTTGCTCTTTATAGTTGGAATTTAAGCAAAAACAAACAAAACAAGATCTTTAAGATCTATGGAGTAGAGCCCGCATTTAAAAAAATGATGAAGTAGACAACAGCCATCCCCCACGCGCTATGTCAAGTACAAAGTGATATGTTTTGCTTTCAGCAAAATATTAATTAGACCAAAAAACACGCCTGAGCTCAAGTATAGAACGATTTCAAAAATATCGTGCGATAAAGGTCCCAAATTGGCCAAAATAGCAATCTTTAAAGACCCATAACCTAGCAAAACACAATCACAGGTAAAATATCTTTTTAAAAATGAGTTCAAAACAAATATTTAGTAACACGACATACTCTCCTTTTACAACTGAACGTTCCAACAACAATTCCCCAGATATCACGCAAATCTCATATGAACTAAATAATCTAATAACACTACAACAACAAGTACAACACCCTCGCACCCTTTTCCCTCCAAACCCGGAACAGCCCGCGATTATGTAAACCATCCTGATCATACTAATACTCCCGAATTTCTCCAAGTTTCCTTACCCCTCTTTCCTCAATATACAATTAGTCACTCCGACCCTTACACGGAACAACCCCACGTACTATCCCCACACTCCACTGGACATCATTTTATCATTTCTCAAACTCACTTTGTATACCACTCACTTACACACCTCAAGAAGTAGAAAAAAGTAAAAATGACCTTTTTAGACTAACTACAGCACTAACACCTCGACAATTCACGCACGTAGGATACAGAAAAATCATTTTTCATGTTCATGTTAATTTTTTTAATTGAAAATGGGGAGGAACTTTGTATTCGGGTATGTTGTACTTTTTCCCACGCAAAACCAGCTAACAAAAATAACCATCGGACTGGGTTGAGTGATATGTCGTATTACAGCCCTTTCAGTCGTGATTCAAACGATCTTGATAATTTCGAATCACGACTGAAAGGGCTTTAAAATGACATATCACTCAACCCAGTCCGACGGTTATTTGTGGTAGCTAGTTTTGCGTGGGAAAAAAACATACCCGAATGAGAAACGGCTTTCCCAGTGTTGAGAAAAACCGGTTTGAAATTTTTGATTTTTCGCATAATTAGAACGAATAAAGCAAGCGAGCAGGCTAATAACAGCTTAATTAGGATAAATCAAAATTTAAGCCCAAAAAATTTCAAGCAAGTAAAGAAAATTTTAAGCAAAAAAGAAGAGTTTTGAAATTATAGTTTTAAAATAAAGTCTCACATCAGACTTTTTTTAATCACCCCATGC